GAAGAGGCAATAAGAGGTGGATATGACTACGAAAGAACAGCAGTCTTACAGAGCACATTTATTTAAACTTCAGGAGGTTTCAGACATGCGTTGGGGTGTATGTTCATCTTCAGGTAGGTAAGAGAATATCGTCTAGTATATTTAAACGAGGGTATCTACCAGTAGATCGCCGCATTAAGAAATATAATTTCCTGATAAACCGAAGTCTCACGTATAACTCGAACCCTCTGGATTAATGAATAGATAATATGAAAGAAGGGGCCCCACAACATTTTGCAAATTGAGTAGATCGCTAGTCAGAAGATAAAGATATTTCTGTCTGTTTCCAGAAGAAACTATTGAGGTCTATTTACTCAGAAAGAAAGTGCGAGTGCACCTATCTTATTATATATATAATAGAAGAAATAAATGCCGTTGAAGCGGCTGATAAAAAAGAAATAGAATGTATCTACTTCATGGTGGTAGTTCTAAGAAGAAAGCAGTTAGAAGGATTTGTCTGATTTTGCAACCGGCATGTTCTTGAAGAAGGCAGAGTGAAGAGAAGTTCGTTCAGATTAACTAAATAATAAATAAATAAATAGAATATTTATTTATTAAATAAATAATAAATACATCTTCTATTTATGCAAAATCAAACAAATCCTTCTAATTGCTTTCTTCTTAATACCACCACCATGAAGTAGAGGCATTCTATTTCTTATTATTAAAGAATAATAAATAAATATTTATTTATTACTTAAATAAATAAATAAATAGAAGATGTTTTTTAAGCATCTTCTACCACATTAAAATGCATTACTTTCACTCTCTGCACAGCCCTTAGATTTGTTAAACAGTAGTACGAGGGGCCCCAGCACAATAAAAAATAAATTAATAAACAAGCATCCAAACGAAGAAAAAAGAAAAGTAAACTTCAGCCTTTTGCATGTATATTAAATGCAAGACCGCCAAGAAGATTATATCAAAATATAGGAGGAATAAGATATATGAAGATGAATACAAACTGCAAAAGTTTATAGGGTCTTTTCTTCATATAGAACAACAGACTGCACCTCTTACCTTTTCTTTAAAAGTTGAATAAGTATAATACTCTATTTGAGCTTTTAAATGCACAAGAACAGTAATATTATTTCTTCTCTTCAAGACTTTGACTCCAAACAACAACACTATACTTAGTCAATCTATACACACTTCATTCGGGGTGTATATTAAGAAAAGAAATATCGCCGTGCATTCTATTAACAATAACTTGCACAACGTAAATATATATATATTAATAAAAAAACAAAAAAAAGTATACATATATATATCTGTTTTTTTATTTGAGATGCCGAGAGGCTGGTAAAGTAAGGATTGATGAATGAGGAGAGAGTCTTCTGAAGAAAACAACAGGCTTACAGTACTTCTTTAGAAAAGTTATATTTAAATAAAGAAGAAATGCATTAAAGAATAAAGATATACACATATAGACACTCACGTACTCACACGCCTAAGTATATATATATATATATATACACAAATCTACCCCTATATAATATTAGTTGTTTTTGTTGCTGCTTAATAAATCAAACAAAATCAGAGAAAAGAACTTCATATGCAGATAAGCTCAATAAAGATAGACGGCTAATATGGGTACTAAACAATATATATATATATATATATACATTCATATATTGTATATATCTATATATGTATATATAATATATATATGCATATATATATATATGTATATAACAAACAGTTATATAAGAATATGAAGACATGAATATCCTTTTAGTATTTATTATTTTTTTCTTATACACAAATTTATAAATAATTATTTCTGTATTACTTCTTCAACTCAAACACCCTTCATTCTTTTTTGTCGCTTCTATATATTTCATTTCCTAAGGAAACAACCCTTTTAAATTTATTATTGTTATTATTATTGTTATTGTTATAATTATTATTATTATTTATTCATTTCTCGCGTGAAATCACAGAAAAATAAGAAGAAGTAAAGACGTTCTTAGGGGCCCCCCAGGGGGGGCCCCCTCTCTTGTTTTCTTCCGTTGTGTATAGATTGTTTATTTTTGACGTTTGTTTCTTTTTTATTCTTTTTTTTGAATTTAATTTGTTTTTCTTCTTTATTTAACTCCTTTTAAGCGGTGTTTGCACGCCTTCGTATTCGAAGCCCTCGCCCGCCAACCCTGAACCCTTTAAAACCTAAACCCTAAACCCTAAACCCTAAACCCTAAACCCTAAACCCTAAACCCTGGAGGGTAAGCTCTAAACCCGAAACCCTAATTTCTAAAGCTCTTTACTCACTAGACAAAGACCCTAAACCCTAAACCCTAAACCCTAAACCCTAATCATCTCATTGACGTATATTTTTCTGCATTTATCTCTGCCTTCCAATCAAACCGAAGTATGTATTACCTTCTTCTTTTTAAAAGGTTTTTCTCTTGGCTTTAAATGCATTCAGGGGGCCCCTTGGGGCCCCCGGGGGCCCCCCGAGGCTCTATATCTGTAGGGTTTAGTTTCTATCGATGTTTCTCTACCCGAAGAAAGACAGCTAAAGCAATTAGCAACTGGTGTTTGCAACAAGAGGCTCGACGCCGTTCATTATTATATCAGCAGCAAGTTGAAAAGGGTATTATAGCTGTGCAACAACAAGAGGAAGGAGGGCCCCCCTCAGGGGGCCCCCCTGGGGGCCCCCCCCTTAAGTATTGCACTTCTACAAGAATGCTGTGGGGCCCCCCTTCACCACCTGGTCTATTTCAAAAAGTTTATGTAGGGCCCCCGTCTATTAGCCGACATTCTTTACCTGTTTATTTAAAGAAACGCTTGAGCGGGAGGCCCTTAGGGTGTATATCTGCATTGAAATCAACAGAGTTAGTTTCGGCTGTATGGGCTGCTGCAAATGATAGCAATATAAATCCTACTGTATGGAGACAGCTGCATGCAGCATGCATGCGGAGGGCCCCACATCTCTCAGCAGCAGAAGCTGCTTTTCTGCTGCATAGCTATGCTGTCGCTGGTATACGCATGCTGCCTGTGCTGCGCTGCACTGTATGTACAGTTCTGATTAAGTGGTTAGATGTGCGGCTTATTGATGTTGCTAGAGCTCTTCATGCTCTCTTCTTTGTCTTTCGTATACGAGACACAAAGCTGCTCTCCAAGTGTATTCACAGCTTCGGGCCTCTTCTCCGCAGCAGCAGCAGCAGCAGCAGCAGAAGCAGCAGCAGCAGAAGTAGAACTGGAGGCTCCTTCCCTGCAGCTGAAGCAAAGCAGCACTTTGTTACCCTCGTGTTGCTGCTGAAGGCCTTTGCTGCTGCTCAGCTGCCATACACTCCGCTGCTGACAGCAGCAGCAGAAGCAGCGCAGCAGCAGCTGCAGCTGCTGCTGCCTAGGGCCCCAAGGAAGCGCACCTCTGACAGAGGAGAAACGCTTCAAAGTAGCAGCAGCAAACAGCAGCAGCAGCTCTTTGCTTTGCCTGCAATAGGGGGCCCCAGGGGGCCCCCCCTGAGGGGCCCCCAAGGTATAGAGAGCGGGGGGCCCCCGCTGCTGTCTCCGTCTCTTTGGGTGTCTCTGTTGGAGTCTCTAGGCAGCTTAGGCGTCCGACATGAACGCCTTTTAAGTGCATTCGAGTCTTATATTATTTCTTCTCATTCTAATCCACAGGGGGCCCCCAGCAGCAGCAATGCTGCTGCTGCTGCTGCTGCTGCTGCTGCACGCAACTCATCTTCTCTTACGGGGGACCCTCAATGCTGGGGGGCCCCCCCCTATCGCTATTCCTTACGCAGGGGCCCCCCAACCACCAACGCAGCAGCTGCTTCACCTCGCAGCGGCTGGCTCCACCGGCTGCCTTCAGCCAGCCAGCAGCTAGCTATCCAGCAGCTAGCTAACCAGCAGCTAGCTAGCCAAGGCGTAGCTAGCCAATCGCTAGCTAACCAGCAGCTAGCTAGCCAGCAGCTAGCTAGCCAGCAGCTAGCTAACCAGCAGCTAGCTAGCCAAGGCGTAGCTAGCCAATCGCTAGCTAACCAGCAGCTAGCTAGCCAGCAGCTAGCTAGCCAGTGGCGGCTGAGTCACTTAAGCCGCGTGTTGATAAGCTTAGGCGGTGTGGGTGTACGACGTGAAGGCGTCGTGTCTCTGTGGTTTTCAAAGTTAAGAAGGGGGGCCCCCTATTTATCTTTTAAAGAGACAGTTGAAGGGCTGCGAGCAGCAGGGGCCTCAGGCTTCTACTGCCGGCAGCTGCTGCTGCAGCTGCTGCAGCACTTATCTCGCACAGCAGCAAACGCCTCCCTCCCTCTACCCCCTTCAACTCTTCTTGCTGCTGCAGCTGAAGCCTCACGCCTACCTCTCTCTTCTCCGTCTCTATGGGGGGCCCTTGCGGGGGCCCTCCTCCGCTGGGGGGCCCCGGGGGCCCCAGCCAACCTGTACATACACCCGGAGAGCAGCAGCAGCACCAGCAGCAGCAGCAGCAGCAGCAGCAGCACACCTAACACCTCTCCGCTTGATAGACAATCTTCTCAGTGCAGTGCAGCAAAGGGAGTGCTTCAGGAGGGGCCTCATGTGGTTGGGCCTGCAAGTGGAGAAGCAGTTCTTGCTGCAGCAGCAGCAGCAGCAAGTGCAACTGCAGTTGCAGCAGCATCAACAGCAGCAGCAGCAGCTGGCAGCGAGAGGCACTTCCCAGGGCCCCTTGCTGTTGCGCTGCTGGAGGCGGTTGCTGCTGCTGCTCCCGCATTGCCTCGTGCTGCTCTCTTCTTCTCATTTGCTGCCCATGAGCTGCAGCAGCAGCAGCAGCAGGTGCTGCTGCTGCCCCTTGATGTGTCTCTCAGGGCTATCGCCGCTGCTCAGCTCCTACGCTGTCGGTGGAGACAGCAGCAGGTCGACAGCAGCGCGCAACCAGGCCCATACAACAGCAGCAGCAGCAGCAGCAGCAGCTACGGTGGTAGTGGTGCTGCTGCAGCAGCAGAGCTAGAGACGCATTTGCTGCAGCTGTGCCGTCTGCATGTTGATTTAATTGTGGTGCGGCAGCAGCGGCAGCTGGAGAGACAACTGCAAGCAGAACTTGCATGCAACCAACAGGAGCAGCAGCAGCAGCAGCAGCAGCAGAGCAGAGAAGCCCGGTGGATGCGGCTTGTGGAGGGGCCCCTTGCAAGTGACTGCCAGCTGCTGCAGCTCTGCATCTTTGGGTTGCTGCGGAGACAGCTGCAGCTACCCCTTGGGGCCCCGCCCTCTCTATACGAGCAGCAGCAGCAGCAGCAGCAACAGCAGCAGCAGCAGCAACAACAACAACAGCAGCAGCAGCAGCAGCAGCAGGTTGGGGCCCGTGGAGAATCTGCTGCTGGCATTGAGCTGCTGCAGCACGTAAGGGGCCTCGTAGCAGCAAGGCGGCGTCTCTGCCCGTTTGTATTTATTTCTATTGAAGAAGCTGTTGCTTGTCTTCACTTTGAATTGCTTCCCTTCTGCTCTCTTACACCCCTTGCTGCTGCTGCAGCAATGCGGCTGCTGCCGCAGATACAGCTGCTGCAGCAGCAGCAGAAGTGGGAAAGCAACAGCACAAGGAACAGCAGCAGCTGCAGCACCAGCAGCAGCAGCAAAGACAGTAACAGCAGCAGCTATAATAGCACCGAAAACATCGACAACGTGGACAGCAGCAACAGCAGCGACAACAGCAGCAACAGCAGCAGCAGCAGTAAACACCCGTGCAGCACTGCCGTGCTGCAGCAGCAGACAGACGCCCCGCCTTCTCTCAATTTGGAATCTCTTGGGCCTTCTTCGTCTCTTGATCAGCACCAACAGGTGCAGCAGCAGCAGCAAGAGCAGCAACAGCAGCACGAGCAGCAGCAGCAGCAGGAACAGCAGCAGCAGGGAACCTTTACAGCGCTGCATATGCCGTCTATTGCTTCTTTAGAGGCTATTTTAATCTGCTTCAGCAGCAGATTGATTACAGCTTCTACCTCCACCTTGCTGCATGCAGCAAACGTTGTTCTGGGGGCCCTCTCCCACCCTTACCTTGTGGGGGCCCTCCTTCGTATGGCTGGAGAGGGGCCCCCCAGGCGCCCCGTTGGGGGCCCTAGGGCAGCAGCAGCAGCAGCAGCAGCAGCAGCAGCAGCAGCAAGTACTGCTGCAACAGGTGCTGCTGCTGCTACCCAGCCTTTGCAGTGCAGCACAACAAGCGAGGGGGCCCCCCCGAGTGCCTGGGGCCCCCCTGAGGGTACAGCCTGCCTTGTGGAGAGGGGCCCCCTTGAGGATGGGGGGCCCCCAGAGGAGGAGGGGGAGTCAACGGTGGTGCAGCTGCTGCGAGATATTTGTCTGCTTATTATAAATGCAGCACAAGAGAGATTAGCCTTTATGCATGCAAATGAAGCTGCCCTACTAACAGCAGACGCAGCTAAACTTCTCAACGCACTTACTCAATACCAAACACCCTCACCAATACAAACCCAGGGGCCCCATGGGGGGCCCCCCCTTCAGGGGCCCCATGGGGGGCCCCCCCTTGATGGGCCCATTGGGGGGCCCCGCCTTGATGGGCCCATTGGGGGGCCCCCCCTTCAGGGGCCCCATGGGGGGCCCCCCCTTGATGGGCCCATTGGGGGCCCCCCCCTTGAGGGGCCCCATGGGGCCCCCACCCTTGAGGATTCCCTGTTCTTGTCTGCAACGGTTGAGGCGGAAGAGGAAGCAGCAGCTATGAAGCAGAGAGAATGCGACTTGCTGGATGAAGAGTCTGCTGCTGCTGCAGCAGCTGCAGCAGCTGCTGCTGAGTTGTTGCGGCTGCGTAGAGGGCTGCAGGGTTTGCTTGCTGCTGCAGCAGAGAGGTGGGTTGCAGCACCTTCTACTGTTTTCTGTTGTGGGGCCGCCAGCGCCCTCAACGTGTGCATGCAGCTGGGTCTGCTCGAGAGAGGAGCTGCTGCTGCTGTGGCTGCTGCTGCTGCTGCTGCTGCAGCAGCAGCAGAGGATGTTACAGCAGCAAAGGGTTGCCTGGAGCTGCGGTGTATAGACACACCAACACCAAGCAGCAAGCCTCATATATACACCTCAAACAAAGACGGGTTAGAGAGAATCCTCAGCAGCAAAAGTACGCTGGAGCGCGGCGCGAGTAAGAGATTAAGAGAGAGCAGCAAACAGCAAACAGACAAAGCAGAAAAAGATATCCGAGAGCAAACAATCATAGAAACTCTTTGCCCAGCTGTCTACAACCCTGAGGCCTCACGCTGGCTGCAGCAGCGCACGCGTTCGAACCCCAGCGAGCTGTCGTTTGTTTCCTTATTGCAACTGGAAACTTCCTGCAACAGCAACAGCAGCAGCAGCAGCAGCAGCAGCAGCAGTGCAGGTGCTGCACTGAGTAAGGAAAAGGGGTTTGGGGGGAACAGCGACGCCAGAGGAGAAGACAAAACAAACTTCTCTTCGTTTCTCGAGACAATAGAAGCCCCAGCAGCAGCACAGCCAGCAGCAGCAGCAACAGCAGCAGCAGCAGCAGCAGCAACAGCAGCCCCCGTGGGCTTTGGGTGCGCCGAGACGAACTTAATGAGGATTCTCCTTAATAGAGTGGCTGTGCTGCGAGCACCAACAGGGACATGGGGAAGCAGCAGCAACCAGCAGCAACAACTGCAGCAGCAGCAGCAGCAGCAGCAGCAGCAGCAGAAGCAGCAACAGGATATGGCCTTGAATTGGCTGTCGCAGCTTCTCCGGTGTTGCTCACAGGGATAGGAAAATGCAGCAGCTTGTGCCTGCTATTTAGTTTGTTTTTTTTATATCTGTTTAAGGAAATAGAAAGTGCAGTTCGAGGTGTACAGACACCTGATGTCTGTTAACAGTGCTGGTGAAGATTGTCTTTTCTCTTTTTGTTTGTTTTTGCTGTCTTTGTTTTGTTTGTTCTGTTTGCTTGGTGTTGATTGCTCTGAGTGTTTGTCTGTACTTTATTTTGTTATATTTCTCCCTGCTTGTTTTGTTTGTTTGTTTTTCTTTTGTTTATTTGTTTTGTTTTGTCTGTTGTTTTGCTTTGTCTCTTCTTGCATTATTTTTTTGTCTCTGTCTCGCTGCTGAGATAGACTCACAGCTGAGGTGTAGTACGCCAATTAAATAAACAAAAACTATATTCTTTTTTTTCTTTTAAAGGATTTCTTTGCTCTTCTGTGGCAGCTGCTCCTGCTGCTACTGGTGCTGCTGCTGCTGCTGCTGCTAGTGCTGCGGTTGCTGCTTCTGTTAATGCTGCTGGTGGTGGTGCTGCTGTTGCTGCTGCTGATGCTACTGCTGCTGTTGCTGTTGCTTGTTAAGGTTTAGAGCGTTGAGTGGAGTTTAAGAGAAGAGAGAGATCCGTAAGCGTAAAGTACAGCTACTTCTACTAACGCACAAGAGAGAAATCAATGAATAAGTATTCTTTATTTATTGATTTCTTTATTAATAAATAATAATAAACATGATAGAAGTAATAATAGTAGTAATGCTTATTTTATTTTTTAACGTATACTTCTCTTTCTGCTAGCCCAGTGAGAGGGCATCGCGCAGATAGACATACGGCAGAAATTCATCAGCAGCTCAGTAAATGCAAATAGAAGAATATGAATTAATATTAAAATAAATATTACAACAAATTAATGCTAAAGGAGGGGAGATGGGGGGCCCGGTGGTTGGTGGTTGCTTGTATAGCTGCAGTGTCTCGATTGTCTTTGCAAGTAAAACAGTTAAAACGTTCTAAAATAGAGTGTATTTAAACATAAATAAACAAATTGAACAACAATTATTGATCTTTTTTAGTTGATATACTGTAGAGATGGAACAAACTTACCTAGAGTGGTGGCGGTGTTTGTTGTAGTCACAGCATGCAGTAGCTCCTACAGCCGCAATCTTCATTAAAAGAGATGCTGCATCAAATTTGTATTGTTATTGGGCTAATTTATATTTATTTTCCTCAATATTTCTCAAGAAATATACAAGAAAAACTCAAAAGAACTCCAGAGTAGTCTCATAGTATATGCTTTCCTCGGATTTGCTTCCGCCAACCGATCGGGGGTAGCCAGCGATTCTTCTGGAGGAAGAGAGCTAATTGCAGCAGATTGTGAGGAAATTAAATGAAATGCAATTAAGTAATTAATTTAATAAAAAGATTCCTTCGTTTTTCTTCCGCTTTCCCACCTTATTTCAGCTGCAGATCCCACAGAGGAAATGAAAGGCCGCTGGCGCAAGGATAAACGGGTCTCAGGTGTACATACACCTCAAGGTGCGGAATTAAAAGAAGAAGAAAAAAATAAATGTTTAGAAGGATTTACTTTCTCAGGAAGAACTGCAGAAGATAAACATGAACGAGAAAAAAGAGAATGTCTTGATAATGCACACGCCGTTCTCGTTCGCAGCCAATTCGCTATGTGTGATGCAGAAACTCACGGCGACTTCATGGTATTTCTTTCATATAATTTAGACATTAAATATAATATATATCTACGTACATTTATATACATATGTACTAACAATCATTTACTTTATGGCATTTGCTTTTACGTAATATGGACATTAACTTTCTTTTGTACATTCCTGTGTATATTAACTTGTATGTACATTTGCTTGTTTCCATATATTTTAACTCGTTTATCAGCATATTGACAATATATATATGTATATATATGTAGTTATGTATGCATAATTATATGTATATATATAACATGCAATATATATTGTATGTATTATGTATGATATTTCCATTTGCACATATGTTGGCTTATAACGAGTACGTAGACTTATTTATATGTATGATGAGTTGTTCGTATATGTATGCGTATTTACGTATTTGTGTTTATGTTTGTTTGCTAATTAATATATTTAAATAACATTGATATTAAGAAGAAAAACTACCCTTTTATTACTGCTATTTATTAAGAGCGAGCAACACTTCAGCAGAATTCATACAAAATTGCGTTCTGTTGTTGTTTGTCCACACTGGGGTTTGCCTACTCCACTCGGCATATCTCAAAGGCATCAGCCTGCATGCATTATATATATATATATATATATATATGTACATGCATCATACACCTATATATGTATATGCTATGTATGTATATGCTATATATGCATATGCTATATATATATATATATATATATATTGTGTTTGTGTGTTTTGTTGTTCAGAAAGCCCTAACAGGCGGCAGTATTTGCATTCCTTCATTTTTCAGTGAAGAGGAAAGCAGTGCGATTTTCAAAGCCCTTTTAAGCGAACTTTCTTCTTATTCGGGGTAACTTGAAATTTATTTTTTATTCTTTTTACGTTTAAACATTTAATTAATTTAATAACTTAATGCGGCTCCTTCTCTTTCTTCTTTTCTGTCTTCCCTTTCTTCTGCTCCTTCTTCTTCTCGTTTCTGTTGATTTCTTTCTGTTTTTATTTGTTGTTTTAACTTCATTTGTTCTCCCTTTCTTCGTTTCCTCGGATGCTATATGTATTCTTTTTTTGCTGTTTTGTTTTTGGTGTTTTTACCGGTTGTTTTATTTTTGGTATGTTGTTTTATTTGGGTTTATTCGTCGTCTTGTTTGTTTTTGTTTGTTTTATTTGCTGATATATCTGCTTTTTATTTTCTTTTATTTGTTATTTTTATCTTGTTTGTGTGTGCCTTCGGGGGTTTACACAGGGAGGAAGCCGCAGCAGCTTCATCCGATGCTGCACCAGAACAACCACAGGAACCTGCTGCTGCTGCCTCACCTGCTGCTGCTGCTGCACCTAGTGCCTCAGCTGTTGCTGCTGCAGCACCTGCTGCTGCTGCTGCCTCACCTGCTGCTGCTGCTGCTGAAAGCGAACAAACAGGAGGGCTGAGCACCGCGGGTATGTGCAAATGGTCTCGGCACCTGAAGCACGAAAACCCTGACGGTTTTCCTACTTTTCAGAAAGTAGTGAAGAGGATTTCAAGTTATTTCGACTTGGATATATTTGCAACAAGAATGAATGTATACCCTGATGGTTCTCATTGGAAGCCCCATCATCACGACTCGCACGCCTATTCTTCAGAAAAATTACAAGTACGGATTGCGCTGTATGTGTGCGTTTTATATACCCTCTATCTTCTGTGTATTTTGTCTTTGAATAGTAAAGAAACGTATTACTTTTTCTTCTGGTTATGCTGTAAATGCAGGCTGAGGACTTCACCGTAGGGGCTTCCTTTGGGGGCCAGCGGTCTCTTGAATTTGCACATGTTAAGAGCGGAATGAAATTTCGTTTTCCGCAGCCAAGCGGCGCTATTTTCGCTTTCAATTCGCTTGTTAATAAAACGTTTACCCACGGAGTTCCTGCAGAACCTGCCAATAGTGTAGGCCCTCGAATTTCAATTATCGTCTGGGGTAGAAGGCGCTCCTTGAACAAGTTGAATGCATGCCAAAGTGAATTGATGGGCGTTTGAGATTATCCGCCAATAAACCGAAAATGAAGTCCGAGGGATTTCTTTTTACTTGGTCACCTCGCTACCTGCGTAGAACGCCTATTAGGCTAAACGTATTGTTAAACTTGAATGTTCAAACGAATGAACGAATCATATATATTAGAAGGAATCATGCAGCAAATGCTAGCTATTCCCCTTCACTCACACTGTTTCGCTGGACAGCCCTTTTTCTCTTTCCATAATACGCTTTTGCATGCAGTTTATGGCAACTAAATAGTAAAGCAAATTTATTTCGCATGACTAACTTGAACAGTGAATCAGCCTCTCAAGCCCTGTCACTTAGCATCGCCGCCACCTACCAATAAGGCGAACTTTGATCAATAGGCAAAAAGGAGGTATAGGAAATATATTTTTAAAAGAAAGACAGTCACTTGACTGAATACCAGTAACATTCAAATAATTCAACATGATACGGCTCTTGCTGCAGCAGCACGCTGAAGTGTACGTACACCTGATGATTTTGCAAATTGCGAACAGCCGATGTTTCGTCGCGCACTTGACACCAAAGCACCAGCATTGGGTGAAGCTGTTCATAAACAATACTGATAAAGAACAATATTTGTGCTGTGAGAGGGTTTTATTCCTTTTTGTTGGATATCTCTCTCCGTGTTTATTACCCATTGCCCTGACGCAACCTGCGATCCGTTCCACTTCCTTTTTGAATTTCATCTTTTTCTGCCTTTTTTTCTCCCAAGTCTTTTCCTTCAACATGGGCCAATATTGGGGAAAGAAGCAGAAATGTGCTCAAGAAGAAACCCCAGTGAAGAAATGGTATTCGGACTCCACTTTGACGCTATTTACCGGTTGCTTGTCCTTTGCAACTTTTCTTCTGAGTGCGACGGCCTGCTACAGCGGAAACCTAAGGCATTTGGCGCCTTACGACTTGAACGGTTTGTCTTTTTAGTTTGGCACTTCAATTTTCGTTTTCTAATGTTATTATTCCCCTGTTGTAATTCATTTCAGCCGACTTCTGCGGCTCCAAAGTTGTAGGCGAAGAACGGCAGTACTTATATTACCCGGACCCACACAACCCAACAAACGGAATTTGTGTGGAGTCTTGCCCAACAGGTAACAATAATAATAATAGTAATAATAATAAGAATAAGAATAACAATAGTAGTAGTAGTAATAAATAATTTATGATTATTTGTATGTTAGTAATGATATGTATTTACAAAATACATTAAAGTAATACACAACAATGAACAAAAATATTTATTTGCAGTAAAATCAAAATAAACAACTTTTAACCAGCAAGAGAACAATACAAAAGGAATTCTATAAATTATCATTTTTTATTTTTTCAGCGGAGACGGGAGGAACCCTGAATATTCCCGATGGTTTAGGCGGCATAACAGTGCATCCTGTGACTGCATCTGAGTTGGTGCGTTTTCTTAAGTTTCTTTAAACCGCAATAGAGATATATTTCTTCTTCGTTTCTTTATATGTGTGCAGGTGTCTGGACAGTATTGTTTCCAGCGGCGTTTGAAAGCCCGGGATATTTTAACAACTTTGAGAGATCAACGGCCCTTTTTGTACAGCATTGTGCAGGATGTGTTCAAAGCAACGGAAGTTTTATTTGCAACGATATTCTTTTCGATTGTTTTGGCGGTGGTGGGGGTGAAGGCAATGATAAATAAAAGAGTTGGCAGAAATGTCTCTCTAGCGGCTTCTTTTGCTCCTTGTTTCTTCTCGGTTTTAACCGTCTTATTGACTCTCTATCATTTCTTCACTCCGAGAGTTCTCTTCCCTGGATTCCCCTTGTTGCTGCTGGCGAGTATTCTCGTGAGTTTGTTTTGTTCGTTTTCTTTTTTATTGAATCTTTTCATCCAGATGCCAATGTTCAAACAGGGCACGATGTCTTTCTTAACCGGCGCCATTCCCGTTATATTCCCCAAGACCTATGCTAGGTGAGCATAAACAAAGACGAAGAAATTGTTCAATTTTATATATGCTCATACGAATAACGCTGTTTTATATTTGTTTAAAATTAAAACATGGAAATATAATAACACACGGTTATGCGTTCTTCCCCGTTGATTTTGCTTGTTTAAAAATAAGAGAAATGCAATAATGCAGCACACGCCATTTAGTTAATTACCTCTTTATTTATTTATTTATTTATTTCCTTGTTCAGGTCTCGCCAGTTTATGCTGATAGGGGCACAGGCTCTGGACGAGATGCCGGATTTGTTGACTTTTGTAATAGCGACGATTGCTGGCATCGGTTTGACAGCGATTTGGAATATTTGGATTTGCGCCTCCATTCTAACAATGGGAAGGCCTGTGCCTGAACCCCTTGTTGTTGAATCTCACAACGAAATATATATGGGTATTATGACGGCATTTACACGGACACCGGGCCAGGGGCTCGCATGTTTAATCGTCTTAATCACCTTTATCTTGCAATTCGAAAGCGGTACTTCTTCTTCTGAGCACTTGGCTTCACAATGTCTTTTTCCTACTCATTTTGCGTGCTTTGCCGCTTGACTTCAGCAATTATATTCACGAAATTCTTCACCACCCGCTGCGTCAAGAAGTGGTACGTCTTTTTCTATTTGTTTATCGGTGTATATTTTATGCTTTTATTTCATTACTTTTACTTCTTTATAGGTTCGAGAAACTCCCTAAAAACGGAATGCGAAGCCCCAGATGCGATTATCTTCTCAGCAATTATATTCACGAAATTCTTCACCACCCGCTGCGTCAAGAAGTGGTACGTCTTTTTCTATTTGTTTATCGGTGTATATTTTATGCTTTTATTTCATTACTTTTACTTCTTTATAGGTTCGAGAAACTCCCTAAAAACGGAATGCGAAGCCCCAGATGCGATTATCTTCTGCCCGTCTGCTTTGACGTTCCCAAGGACTGGGGCCCCCTAGGAGCAGCAAGTGAGCGACTTAAATATGCAGATGTACACCCTAGTGAAAATAATAATAATTACTATTATTCTTATTCCTTCTTCAATATGCATGCTTGCGTGTTAATAAACATTATCTTTATTTTTATTAGTAGTAGTAGTAATAGTACTATACCAACTCCTTAAAAGTATGGACATGAATAGTTGCCTGTGGTAGTTCCTAGGTTTGCATGCAGAAAGATAGTGAGAATTAGTTTCTTTATTACATAAATCCACATCTTCATATAATAATTAGCACTCTTTCTATAGTTTCCCAAATGTAAATATTTCATTAATACTATTGTTGGTAGTACTATAATGTAAGCATTTGCATAATTACTTCTTGTTGAGGCTTAAGTAATTAAAGTTATTACTGGTTAAACGCACGCATTTACATAATATTAATAGTCATTATTATTATTATGTGTTATTGCTCCTCAAATGCATGCATTAAAATACATTTACCTTTAAGTAATATTTATATTACTATTATTATTCTTATTTCAAATATGTACACATCTTCCCAATACTAGTAATAATAATTCTTTACTATTCTTGCTATGTTTCTAAGTGTACACGTTCAGATAATAATAATTATTACAGTTTCTTAGATACGTAATTTCACAGTGGAATTTGTTATTTCTATAGTGTACAGGTTTACATAATATTGATAATAATTATTAATTACTGTTATTCTTTAATCCACACCCCACAGATGACTGTCATTAGCGTTTGCTAAGTACACATATTTGCATCATTTGAATTAATTTGGTCGTTTCTTATATCTACATCATTTGCAGAATAGTTTGTGTCATTCTGTTTCTCAAATCTAAACATTTTCAGAAAAATAATTATTATATTTGTAAGTATGCACAAGTACATTATCACCACAATAATATTCATTAATAGTCTTGTTGTTATCCAGTCTTACATGTACACATTTACACAATGAGAAATAATATTTCCTAAGTAGTATTCGCGTTTTTAAATAATAACAATCACCATTGTCGTTAATGCATACCTTTATAAGACCAATTAGTGTTAATATTTTGTTAATATTTCGACCTAAGCAAACGAAAAACCAGAACAGAAATATGAATACTAATATGATTATAATAAAAATTATAATAGCTATGGTCATTATTATAGCAGCAATAATAACTATAATTTCTACAGCAATTATTATCATTATTACTATTATTTTTATGATTATTATTACTATTATTATCTCAGCTTTCTTCTCTCCTGTCTGTCGTATGCCTGCAACATTTATGCAAATGCTTGCGGCGGAAAGTTCTTTGGCGCCCCACACGGACACCTTGGCGACATATTTACAGCGTCGTTTTTCTTATTGGAATGACTGCCGTGAGCGTTGAATATATATATTGTTATATTAGCGTCTTCTGTTTGTTTTTTTCTGTTTGTTTCTGTGAATATTATAGTAGTGTCTTCTGTTTGGTTTACACTGTTTGTTTCTGTTATTATTATGTTAGCGTCTTCTGTTTGGTTTATTCTGTTTGGTTCTGGTATTATTATATTAACGTCTTTTGTTTGCTCTTTATGTTTGTTTCTGTTATTATTATATGAGCGCCTTCTGCTTGCCCTTAAAGAGACAAATCAACATTCTATCTGCATTATTATTATTATTACTATTATTATTATTGTTTTACTTGCAGTTTTGTTCAATAACCAACTGCTGCCCGTCAAGCTCGACGAAGCGAATGGTGGATATCTCGAGGCGGCTCTCGCGGGTTATATTGTGCGTTTATATTTAATTATTTTAAAGAAATAATGATAATTAAATATTTATTTGTTTGCTGCTGAACAGGAAATTACGCAAGGCAAAGTAGACGACCACTATCACGCTCGCCGTTACTTCCTGCAGGAGTTGCTGAGGTAAATTCAACTGCAAAACAAATAAAGACAGCACTTAATTTTAATCGTTGAATTTTATTTTTGTTATTTAATCAGCCCTGCCTTTCAAATCGGTTTCTTTTCTACAATGGTAAGAGAATTGTTTGTTATTCCTTCTGCCTTCCCTCTTAGTGTTAATTGTTGTTTATTTCAGAGCATCTTCGTCGCCGTATTCACATGGATCGCTCTTGAGCTCGCCCCCATCTTCAACAACACAGTAAGTATATCTTTTAGCAATAACAAGCCAACTGATTCTTTTTGAACACAAATGCAAATATTTAAACAGGGAGAGAAAGCGCTGGATTCCATACCCGTCGTTGTGCTCGTTGTCTTTTGTATATCTGCCCTCGTGTTAACTGTAAGTTCTTTCAATTAATAATAATAATAATAATAATAATGGTGTTATTGTTATTACTATTATTATTACTGTGGATTCATTAATAATACTATTACCGTTATTACTACTATTATTATTATGGATGAACGCATTAATTTCTGCAGGTCTTTCAAGAAGCCGTAAACGCTGCGTCATGTGCGGCGGTGATGTATTGGTCAAAGGCCGCCGCTGATGTGTTGTGGTGCAACTCGATTAACTCTGTGAGTCTCTCTCTGATTTATTTATTTATTTACATTTTAAGAGTAGAAGAATAATAAATATTTTATTTTGTTTATCTCCTTTCAGGACACTCTCCCCGTCTATGAGTCCAGACACTTGCGCCGCAAATTCCTCGATCTTCTTCGAAGAAAATGCGATAGACAAATTTTGTTTTAAAAACAAAATTTGTTTATTTTAGTTGGTGGCGAGACGTTGCCATTTGCTGTTTATATTTTTTCATGGTGGTGAACGGCTGAAGGTGAATATTTTTTTGTTTGTTCTTTCGTCTTCATTTTTTTTAAATTCAAAATTTATTATATCTGCTTGGCCGGTGTTTAATCCCCCATACATCCGTCGTTTAAAGTCTTTACTTAAATTGTTTTAAAATAGAAACAATCACCATTCAAACTATATATGTAATAATTCTTTTATTCTACCTCTATTCATTCTAATACTTCATTATCATTCACCATATCTAGTTTATTTTAACTATCAACTCTATTATATACACCTACTTGCTTTAAGAACAGTTTCTATAGAAATAAACCCCAATGTAATATCTTGTGTAGAATCTGCATAACAACATTTATTTTATTTAGAACAATTCTGAAAGTCACTTAAAATAAAAGTGGAGGTTTATTACTCCTTTTAAGTGAAGTTTGCTCACTTATTCGATGTTTTCGCTTTGGGTTTTTGAACTTTAAACAAATAAATAAACAAACAAACAAACAAACAGACGTCTTGAGGTATAAAATGTATTGTACATGCAACGAA